TTCCCTGTTCAAAGTCAGTGTGGTATGACCATTATGCAGAACACGATTTTAGTTTTAATGTAAGTATAAAATATACTGTATTTAACTACTAAATATTACACAAAACAGGAAATTACATCACAAAGAGGATTTTTAAATGTCAGAGATAATTTAACAAGAAAACATGGAATTGTGAAACCCTAAGAAATTGCCATGATACTCCTAAAAAAGTTGAAACAATATTAAACTTCATTTTAACAAATGATGAAAATGTTATTAAAAAATATAACAACTTTTTACCTAATTGATGGTTTTTGTGTATACAATGAAAATATGACTACTTTTTACTTTGCACCACTTGACATTTTTAACCATTAATTCAATAAACTTTTACCTGAAAATGGTACAACAATCTTTTTAAGTCAATTTGAAACTAACATGAATTTAAGTATTGCATTTGAAAGAACTCAACATGTGTTATAATTTTGAGTCTTTTCGGGTAATCGTGTGCGTTCTGTCATTGACGCAGAAGCCAATTTTGTTTTTGCATTCAAACAACATATATTTCAGGTTTATTTGTGTAATGTTTCTCACAATACATATCGTTTCAAAGCAGCTTTACAGAAGAGCCACTGGCAACTAAGTCAAAGGAAAAAAATGCTAGATAGATTGTTCACGCTGTGTTCAGAGGGGCACTCTGGCATCTACATCATGTTTATGAGGGACACCGTTGCTCAAAAAATGTGTGTGATGGTGTCAGTGGCCTTTTTGCAGTAAGTGTGTTTGTGTGAAAAATTAGACACAGTGCCCCATTTCCAGCACCAGAGGGACTCTCAACAGCACATGACTAGAAAGTGTGTGGTCAAAAACAGAAAACAGTCAGACAAGGAAGATCATGAGGCAAATCCAAAAAAAGAAAAGACAAAGTGATAGTGAAAACACAAAACCAGAATGATAAAAAGAAATGATTCATAAAGGAATAAACATTCAATAAACAGCCTACAGAAGATTGTGTGGATTCGCAAATTCCTAACGTATGGGTAAAAAGAGAGTGTCAATAGCCGTGTTTCCACTGTCGGGCCAAAAGCGAACGTGCCAGTGCATGCCAGGGCCAGTCGTGTTTCCACTGTCACTTCCCGGGCTTGATTGTGCCTTGTCGGGGCTTCGTCGTGACCAGCGGCCAGGGATTTTAGGCCTGCCGAATACCTTGGGCCAAAGCGGGCCAACTGGTGCTACAAGAGTGGTCAAGAACAAAGGCAGAGTTTATCCGAGTTATGAGATGGTCGGCACCGCTGCTCACTTCCCATGTTTTCATATCAAGCTACCAGCTAGCATCAAAATTTAAAACAATTTTGATGGCAAAACTGGAAATTATGCCTCTGTTCATCATGTCCATCATGACATCTCACTACATTGCTGAACTCACAAGGCGCATCAGACATAAGCATCAGAGACAATGTATTTACTCTGTCCAAAAACACAAATTCTTTCACTTAATCAATATTATGAGCAAATTAAATGCATGCAACCCAAAATTATACATTAGTGCACTTTAGACACTATATAAACCACCATTCAAAAGTTTGGCGTTGGTAAGATTTTTAAATGTTTCTGAAGTTATGCTACAGTACCTCTTATGCTAACTAAGGCTGCATTTATTTGATTAAAAATACAGTAAAATCAGCAATATTATGAAATATCATTACCATTTAAAACCACTGTTTTGTATTTTAATATATTTTAAAATGTAATTTATTCCTGTGATGCAAAGCTGAATTTTCAGCATCATTACTCCAGTCTTCAGTGTCACATGATCCTTCAGAAATAATAATTAATAATTTAATAATTAATTAATCATTTATGCATTTAGCAGATGCTTTTATCCAAAGCGACTTACAGTGAATTCAGGCTATACATTTTTTACCAGTATGTAAAGAACATACTTAAAGTACATACTATACATATTTTTTACCAGTATGTTTCAGTACCAGAAATCATTCTAATATACTGATTTGCTGCTCAATAAACATTTCTTATTATTATTAATGTTGAAAACAGTTTTGCTGCATAATATCTTTGATGAATATAAAAGTACACACTGCAATCAAACAACAAAAATTTACCTAAAATCTAATCGGACTTCCTAGAGAGTAAAAACATTACAAAATCTGATTTTATTCAGATTTGAACCCACTTATGGATCAGGTTTGTGACTATTAGAATTCATGTGCTATTTTTATTGCAGTTCAGACCGTAAACAATTCAAGTCTGATGTGCCATTAAAATCTCAACAATGCATTCGATTCATACTATGCCACTCTAAAAACAGCAAAATTATGATGCTATACTCATTTCAAGTATATTTTCTACATTAAAAAAATGAACCCTAATGTCTATAGCCCCAGTAGTCCAGTCTTAGTTCGCTTTAACCCTTCATTCAGACTCTTCATATCAAGAACTTCATAGGAAAAACACATATCACACACATAAATACCCACACCTTTAATGATCTTATCTTGGCTCCTTGTTATCAGTTTGAGTAATTAGCTGAAGTTCACAAAACAAAACCACCCGCTCTCTGCCCAAACACACACAGCAGAAGTCACACATCTGCCCACATGAAACAGCTGCTATCTTTCTTTAAAATCTGCTGCTATAAAGGGAAAGGCAGAAAGGTGGTTGGGCATCAGAGCCAGTCAGCTATGAAATGGTTCCATTCCACTGACGTCGGCCACAACATTAGCCATGAGTGAGCACAGTAACTTCCTTTTATCCCTAGAACGTCCTTTCATGGAGGTTAACAACAGGAAGAGATGAGAACTAGAGCAGAAAAGGAGAGATAATGAAGGAGAGACAAAGGAAGAGAGAGAGAACTCAAGCAAGAGCACCCAATCTGCCGGTCCCGCTTTGCCACCTGTCAAAATCGTGAGAATTTACTAACCAAATGTAAGCAATCAGTCTAAACATCGGCTAGGCCATGGAAGGCTAACCATGGTCAGAGTCCCAAAATCAACATGGGCATTAAAAAACTGAGTGCCAAAGTAAAGACGCAGACACCACCTCTAAGACTGCAGCTGCTGCTACACACACACTTATCAAAGACCGCTTGTAAGCGAGTGCTAATCTTCAACGAACACGCTTGTACCTTCATTAGAACCTGAAATCATCAGTCGACAGCTAAATTAGATGATGGTTTTGTTTAGCGGTGGCTCTGCTTCCTCAGTTACGTCCTCTTCCTTTGAAAAGTATACAGAAACGAATAAGTGGGTTTTGTTGGCTCAGCAAGTCTTGTAAACTAGATATAATCTAAATTAGTCCTTATCATAGCATAAAATGAGATATGCAGCTTATCCTGTACTGCTATTCAGAATCTGCAGTGCCATGGAAAAATAAATTATATTTAGCTGAGTTGCGAGTTTGCAATGTGAATTGAATTTCATGAGAGAGACTAGGTGCCATGAAATAACATGAAGACAATAAATGCACTACACATTTTTTCATTGTGTCATTCTTACTGGTTGCATGTAACAACAAATGTAAAACACAAGCATAGTCCAATTCATGAACAAATGATACTCATGAGAAAGTGCTTTTCAAAGAATCGAAGAGTCCGATAGTCTCACATATCAATCTCAAGCTTAATGCGTTGATTCAATCTAATGCAAGGGTTTTCCAAACAGGGGGTTCATAAGTTGATGAAAAACCAATCATTCATTAAATTATAACAATGTAAAATTTAAATAAATATAATAAAAATAAAGTTTAAAATACAAAAATTCACTAAAACTAAAAAAAAATTTTAATAAATTATTTATTTTTAATATACTAAAAGGATTGGGAATCCCTGGTCTAATAACTCGCTTGCCCACTGAATCATTTAAATGAACATATGACTTGCCCGACCTGAAATCAACTACTAATGTGTTTTGTCTACATTTAAAAGCAATTTTAAAACAATAATTAGTAGGAAGCTAATTATTAACTTGTAAGAGTCTGATTCAGTGTAAATACTGACTGGCTGCTAGTATGACAAAATATAACTGTATATAATAAAATATCCACTTTTTAAATGTTTATTTATTATAAAATGGGCTGACTTTATATATATATATTTTTTTATTTATATATCATGATTATAAAAACCTGATTTAAAGGCTGATGCTAAAATAAATTACTTTTGTAGATTAATATAAATTGTGCCATATGAGTTTACTTAAACTCGTTTTATTTTAAAACAATGTAATAAAATAAAATAAAAAAAAATAGCCAATAATAAAACAATATATATAAACAATATATTTACAATAATGTTTAAAAGGGTGCACCTCATGAGGTTGAATAGGACATCCGGAGCGTGCAAAGTCAGAATCTAGACCAAAGGTGGCAACTTTCAAGACGCTCAAACGTAAGATAGTTTAGATTTTATGAACATTTTTGGTTACCACATTTTACTGTTATTTTACCGTTTTTGATGTCTTTACTATTATTCTATAAGTAGCTGTGCCCAAACCTTTGAATAAATATATTATTTCATGTAGTACATAGTTAGGAGTGTTTTACAAATCTGATGACGGATAACCTGAAAGCACAAGGCTTTTGGAGAACTCAGGATGTCTCAAACTTATCATGAGCAGGTTTCCTCACATGACTGTGTCTGTCGAGGGAACAGGGTGTAACTCTGACCCTCCCTTTTTTCAGAAGCACTGGAGTCAGTCAATCAGTCTGTCAGTGAACTAATAATAACAACAACACCCATGCACCCACATAGACACTCACAAACACAGAAAAATTACACATGCACTGTATGCACAGTAACACAAGCCAAGGCAACAGGCAAACTGCTCCTTTAAGAATGAGAAAGTGAAGGGGGAACTATGAGGGAGAGGGAGGGAGAACATGCATTCACAACGGCAGAATGTCAAATCGCCGCGCTACGCTTGTTCTTCAGAACTCCCAGTGTGCGGTTACATCAGCTGAGCAAAGGGAGAGAGAGGGAAATAGGGCATTTCACAGGAGCCTACCTCACACACAGCTGCAGGGGAGGCAGGTGGCAGTTTGTCCCCTTCTGTCCTGCGGCGGAGACCCCACACCAACGAGCCGGTCTGGCTTGGGAGGGAGGTCAGTGTCCCGGTGCACTTTTTCCTCTTCTGTACTGATATCTGTCTTCCAGCACCCTGTTGCACTGCGGTCACCCGCTGCGAAGTTTGACAAACTTTCAAGTGACTGTCAACACAGAAGTGAGAGCGAGAGAGGCTGGACGGAAAGTTTTAAAGGAGACGAGTGAAAAAAAGAAAAGTTCAAACTGAAGCGGTTTAAATTTCCTGAACTACCTTGCACGCTCTCTCTCTCTCTCTCTCTCTCTCTCTCTCTTTCTCCCCCT